GCCCCCCCCCCCCCCCCCCCCCCCCCCCCCTTGCCAATACCGAAAGCCCCATAGTAAAGGAAGAAAAACGCGACCGAGGCATTCCCGTATACACTGCCGTTGTCACTAGTTTGGGAATATCGAAGCAGAACAGTAATAACGAGTAAGCACACGAACTGCCCAAACGTCGATAGAAGCATCAGACCGCGGCGACCCATACACTTAATCAAAAGCACGGCTATACCCGAGAAAATGAGGTATGAGACGGCGTTGCAAGCTGACAAGAATCGAGCCATTTTCTCTGGCAAAGCAACCGACCTTGTCAGTACAGTGGGCATGTAATACAACATGATGTTTATACCGCCGAACTGCTGCATGAACTGACTACCCACACCTAGGGAAATTCTGCGCAATGTTTTGGTATCGTTCTTCTTGTCTTTTTGAGGAGATCCCGCCAGCGCACGGCGTTCTGCCGCCCGTATTGAAAGCTGAATGCGATTTGGTTGCGCTGGGTTATGACCACGGGGTCGTCGATCGGCTTTGCTTCGAGGCAGCTGAGGACTTCGATTGCCTCTTCTTCTTTGCCATGGGCGAGGAGCCATCTGTGGTGTATCGTTAGATGAGATCATCAATGAAGGGGTTGGCGTGTATGCTTATATGCTTACCGAGGAGACTCCGGCAGCCAGGGCATTGTACTCCACAGAATGAAAAGAAGAATTGGAATGCATGTGGAAACCGCCAGGCTACGGAGCCGCCTGCAAATGATAATACATAATTGATCCAGTTGACGAGACAGAAACCAGCGATGTTCATCATCATATCTAGGATTACCAGTTTTCCGCGCCATTTTGTTTGGGATGTTTCGGTCAGCCAGATTGGGCCTGTAGCCATGTTGATGCCCATTGCCCACTAGGTTACTGTATTTCAGTTGGGTATAATGACCTTATTTCCCGTTTCCAACACCATAAGGATGTTAGATGATGATAAAGTCTTCGGAAGAGAAGGCCACTTACCCTAACACGATACGACCAACGAACAATTTGCGCCAAACTAAACGAACTATAATTGTAGTTCCCAGGAGGATCTCTTTCTTTCGGCCCAGACGCTCACCAAGGGTGAAGGCGACAAGGGCCCCGAAGAAACAACCAATATCATATATCGCAGTCACCGTGGATAGGGCCGTTGTCTTCGTAGGTCCGACGAGATCGTGGCTTACAAGGAAATTCCAGTGATCACGACACCGCCTGGATTGAATTAGAGGTTAATGTCAAGCACAGTTTTCAGAGTACTCACTGAACACTCCTTGGTCGTAACCAAATAAGGTCATATCGGTTGCGCATGCCACCTAAGACCAAACATTTCAATTGATTTCAATCGAAGGCTATACTTCTAGTCATACCGTGGTCCAGAATATCAGCCATCCCCCTGTTAACCCGAAGTAGGGCTTTTTCTTCTGCGAGACGGTAGCCATATGGGAAAGTAAATCAAAGAAACGAAGTCCCCGCACCGTACACACGTATCAGTGGGACTTCATCCCTTATATACCAGTCTAGGAATAGCCTAAATAACAATTCCATGAATATATGCAAGGGATTTGCCGGAATGATCTCCCAAGGTCGGCTCCGCTCCGAAGTCCGGGGGAAATGTGGGGGGAAGTTCAGGCCATTAACCCAAAAGAGTATGCCGGAGAACCTGATCGCCTCATTTCGATAGCGCATCTAGCAGATTAGATTCGCTAAGATTCAAGGATAACCGATATTCTTGCGTCACTGGTCAGCTGGTGGGTATTCCGAGGTTGAAAGAAAGAGTAAATCATCGGCCATAATTGCCTTTCTATACATTCCAATAGGGAGTATTATATTCAGCGTGCTTAGCATGGAAACAAAGAGGTATTTTATTTATTATTGGAATATCCATCTTCAGGGCTTATGTTGGGTTAACTAGCCTTCTCTAGAGGTATTCTAAAGGCATCCTTTTGACATATTCCATCTTGTAGCAGTAGTGAGCTGCAGGTATAGTTAAAAGAGATACAGGCAGGCCAAGTCAACCCCAAAGAGATATACTTAGGGTATAAGTGGAGCCACTTCTTGTATACACAGAGCCTCTATTTCTAGGCGAAGTGTGAGAATTCCAAATACTACACCTCTAGCTCCTAATCCTTGATGTCCCTTTATTGCACAGGTAATTGTTTTAGCAGATGATATTGCATGTCTCCTGAATAGATGGTATAGGGGGCTATAAGCCACAAGGAAAGTTTAACCAGGGAAACACCGTCTTCAAAACACCAGAATCGACCCGCAAAGCATCTGAGATGGAATGCAAGTTCGAACACACCAACCTTCCGATAGCAAGAAGGTGTAAAATCCAAAAAAATAATCCAAAATCCAAAGCCCACGTATAATACGCCATAATAATCCCAACCCCGATGTGTCTAGAACATGGAGCCAGTCCATGCAGCCCGGAGATGCACGTGCAACCGACATGGCATCTCCATCCCCGACCCGGGTCCTGCCCTATCTAGCCGTAAACCTCAAATCAAAGAGTCACGCTCTCAAGATCACGCATGACAATACCCATTTGAGCGCGCTTGGCTGCTTCGGCGACAAGATTGAAATCCTGAAGAAAGGGCGCTGTGGCAGTTGGACCCCCGAGACCATTTATCTGGTGGGGATAGGTATCGGATGTGGGCACCGGAGCGGGGGCTGCATTCGTAGGTAATAATGCATGGGTGTTGGCTGCGGGGGCGATGGGAACGGTGCCCGTGTTGGATGTGTTGCCGATTACTTGTGACAAGGGTTGCATGGGAGGGGCGGAGGTCTGCGGGGAACAGGTAGATTGTAGCGAGGGTGAAGAGAACACCTGCCTGGTTGCATTTGATGCGACTTCTAGGGTACTTTGAGCCTGGGCTGCCATGCTGGGCTGGCCTGCTGAAGGGTTGAGGGTTGAGGAGGGATGGAAGGAGGTGGGTTGGGCGAGAGGTGCTTGAGGGTTGTATGCTGTTCGCAGGGTCGAGTCCATGACGTGATTAGAGCGGTCCGATCTCCCAATATGCAAAAGGAATAGGTCGCGATGAACGTAGACTTGGGTGAATGGATAGACGGGGATAGAGATTGTTGCTACGGACAATATTCGACGGGGAATCAAGAGTGGAAAAGAAAGCAGAGTGGCAAGGAAATCGAAGCCGCTCGAGGATGCAAATTGCAAGAGGGCTAAGACGAATTTAGCCGGCGGGGGTGATTTCCACTAGGGACACGCTGGACGAAAGACCAGATTGCAGGGAGAAGCGACGGAAAGAGAAAGATTGCAGTCAGAGATTTACACATAATCTCTCAGGGGTGCAGACGACATTTGAAGGCAAACTGCAGGTTTTCCCTTGATCCCGAGGTTTGTCCGGGTATTGTATGGTATTGTGACTGTATCTCCACGCTTTTCTCCACAATTACCCATACAATTATATGTACATTTATGTATGTACGTACCACCAGGTAGTATTATGCACGTGACTCTGTATAATGTAACCGTCAATAGTCATAGTCACGGTAATTACACCTCTCTCTGGAGTTGTAGAGTGTATTAGAAAATCAGACAATCCAAAGCACATTGTCTGACTTGCCTACATATGTCAAAATGCCCGAATCTCCAATGCCGAAGCCGAGAGATCCGGCAATCAGCCCACTATATACATATCTGGGTGCCTGAGGCAACTTCCCGAGGTCAGAACATGGCCGATAAGAAACTGATAACTGATATCGATATTTTTCCCCCTCCAAAGCATTGAGGCCATAGACTACCATGGACGACGAATTTGATTCGGGAAATCTATTTCAGGACCCAGAAGGGTACTATCCTGAAGATGAGCCGCCCACATTTGCCGAGCACTCCATGCTATCGGGCCAGAAAGTGCGCGTCCGTCTTGTGGGTAGCCACCCCCTCTACGTATGATATCAATTGACATGACCAGCCGTGTTGCCTACTTACAGACCTTGACAGGGAAATTTGCTATGGAACGCTGGCCGAACCAGCTCTCATTATATTGAGCAACACACGGAGGATCTCATCCGAAACAAGGATGTCCTTGAGATTGGTGCCGCAGCAGGCGTTCCCAGCATCGTGAGCGCCATCCAGGGCGCCCGGACAGTGGTATTGACCGATTATCCGGATCCGGATCTAGTTGAAAACATGAAGTACAACGCAGATTTGTCGGCCAGTGCCATTCCCGCGAGAGAAGACGGAAAGCCCCGCCTCCACGTCGATGGCTACAAATGGGGCAGCGATGTGAGCCCGCTGCGGGCGTATCTCCCCCCTGCTGCCGATGGCTCTCCATCCTTGTTTGACGTCTTGATCATGGCGGATGTGGTATACAGCCACCGCGAGCACCCGAATCTGATCAAAACCATGCAGCAGACCATGAAGAAGGACCCGAAGTCTGTTGCTCTGGTTATTTTCACCCCCTACCAGCCCTGGCTGTTGTCTAAGACCGAGCAGTTCTTCCCGTTAGCCGAGGCGAGCGGCTTCACTGTCAAAAAGATCTTTGAGAAGGTGGTGGATGCGGTGCTGTTCGAGAATGACCCTGGCGTAGGTCTACATTTTGAGATTCTCCTTTGGATTATGGCCATGGTGCTGACTCTTTGCAGGATGAAAGGCTCCGAAGAACCGTGTTCGGATATGAAATCCGATGGGCGCAGGATCAATTGGAGGATTCATCCAAAGCTGTTTAAGCCGTTGATTTGATACCCCGAACCTACTTGGAACGATGACATGATTACATGACAAAAGTTCGATAGAATTTATATACGTTGAGATCGAGATCTGTTCTAGAAATTAGAAATACATTTACTACCTCTGTATAAGGGACCTGAACCTCATACTTCATTCAGACCTCAATTTCACCATACAGCAGCCTTCCACTTTTTGTTCTCTCTCATCCTGTATCCGTATGAGTAAACAGTAATCAACTACAATGATCATATCAATTGAGGAAATAATCCAAATTTCAATGACACAGCATATAGATGGTTCGTGGATGTCGATGCGGGTCACATGCCACAATCCCCCGCAAAGAAAAAAAGTCCGCCAGAACAAACACCGCGACAACACAACGATGCCGGTATGTCAAAAAACCTCGTACATTCTGCAATCAATTCTAACAGATTTACTTTTAGCTCGTCGTTTTAACGGGATACCCATGCTCCGGTCTTACCCACCGCGCCAATCAACTCGCATCTCTGTTTGAGAAACACCAAGATGAAGTATTCGCAGCAGCCGAAGCAGGCGCGAAGGTCTCCTTGAAGTCTCGATACAAGGTGCATGTGGTCGCTTCACACGATTCCTCCCATCCACGGATTGTCTACGACCATGCCCGCACCGAGAAGGAGGCGCGCGGCGTCGCCTACGCGAGAGCCAAGCGTGTGCTCAAGCGGGACAGCATCGTCATCCTTGACGGAATGAATTATATCAAAGGGTGGAGGTACCAGCTGTGGTGCGAGGCGAAAGCTGCGCAAACGACGTGCTGTGTGGTATGAGATCGGAACCTACAAAATGAATTGCGACAGCCGATGGCTGACAAGTTTTGCTATAGGTTCACGTGGGGACACCCGTCGACCAGTGCGTCGCCAACAATGACGCTCGACTGCGCCGAGACGCCCGCAAGGGAACAGAGTCAAAGACATCGGATACGCAGACCTCCAAACCCCAAGATACCCCCGCACCCGACTCCGCGGAGTCTACCGAGGACAACGAGGAGGCCTACCCACCTGAACTGCTCAACAACCTCATCTTCCGATATGAGGAACCAAGCACCCACAGCCGCTGGGATAAGCCCCTGTTCACAGTCCCCTGGGACGACCCAGAACCCCCGGTAGCAGACATCTTCGCAGCCTTGACAGGCGTAGTCATCCCATCAACCGAAACTCCCACTGAAACAACGATCCCAAGCCTAACGGACTCCCTCGCATCCACCGCCATCTCAGACATCGCCAGCACAGCAACAGGCACTCGAGGTGGCGGCCGCAGCGGGCTCTCAGCGCGCGCCCGAATCATCCCGCACCAAGCCACCGTCCAAGCAGCGGCAACAGACTCGAACGCAATGTACGCAATGGAAAAGCGGACGTCAGCAGTTGTGACTGCAATCCGCAATTTCACGCAGACCTACCCGTCCGCGGACGTAGCACTTGCGCAGAGCAGTCGCGCCGATGCAATCGCCATTGACGTGCCGGAGACAACTACTCCCATCCTTGTTCCGTCCCATGTCGCCATGGGTGGAACGACGGATGAACTCGCCGCTGCTGGTGGTGTTCTGGCTCTGCCGCGGCTGCAGAGGCTGCGCAGGCAGTGGATTAGCTTGAATAGGTCATATATTGGTCGGGGTCATGGTGGTGGAGGCGGTACGCTGGCGGCGGACCAGATTGGAGATGCGTTTGTGCGATTTCTGAATTCTGAGTTCTCGGGTGAGATTTCGGAAGCTGCAGAAGAATAGATGCCTTGCATTTGAGTAGGATCAGATAGATTAGATGTCTTTTTTCATTACTAGAAAAAGTTGGTAGTTATGAGATAACGAGTTTATGAATTCTACATGTCCTTTTGTCTTACAGGCTGTACGTTCAAGGATTGCAAAGTAAAAAGGTAATTTGAAACAAAATACAAGAACGCATCACTATCTATCAATATCAACAAATCAAAATCCAACCAATAGTTGGACAAGACATGGCTATCTCTCTTCACTGCCATTCTTCTTCCTTTTTTGAGACACTGTATCCCGCTTTGCTGTTTCCTCCGCATAAGTTTCGGGTCTTTTTGTATCATTTGGATGGTTTTATCCATGGATCTGAAGTGCAGCCCAAGAAGCTCAGAAGCCCTTGGTACTGAATCCAGATCCCCATGTGGTGAGCAGCTTGCGATCGGGGATCAACAAGCTCTCGAGCGTGGGCCGGGGTTCCACGCTGGTCCTATCCAGTTCCTGGCCGTAATATCCATTTTTGGAATCGGGTTGTCCTTGTCTGATGATGGGATCAGGTTGAGACAGTCCTTTGGCCGACGTCCACTTGTGTACTCGCGGGCGATCGCACTGGGTTTCTCCATGTATTGAAAGTGTGTGGCCAGCAAGCAGCAGGGTCTAGCCGCGGAGTAAAAAGGAAATCAAGAAAAAGTCCTCCCGTGAAGTTTGTTCGTATCGTTTAAAGAAAACTGCTGTTCTCCCCCAGGACGGAGGCCTACAGCTCCTTAACCCTTCAAGGCAATCCATTTGGCATGTGGGAAACAGCCTGGCTGGCCTCAATATGGCGGTAGTTCAGACCCAAGGTAAACAGTTCCTGGAAACTGGCGTTGACCTTCTCGTGCATGGTAGTATCCTGAGGGGAAATGTTACCCAGCTCCTCGAGGAGACGCGAGCGGCACTTGAAGAAGTTCTGCTCGGCGTTCTGGAGGCGCTGACCAAGGCTAGCGGAAGTCTGGGTGGCCTTAATGGAGCTAGCCTGGGAGTGGACGGAGCGGGTGCGCTTCATGGTGGGAGCAGGGGTGGGACCAGTGACTCTTCTCTTGCGGCCAGTGGGTTCCTTCTTTTTGATCTGACCAGCGCCGGGCGAGGTCTCAGGCGAGCTGTGGCGCTCGGAAGTGGCATAGTCATGCACGCGGCGCATGTGGTCGTAAAGGTTCCATCTCCTTGGGAATCCATTTCCTGGAACGGCACGTTCACAGCCCTCCCACAGGCAGAGGTGGGGGTTATCTCCATGGCCATGTAATCCGTGGGCTTCACGCTCGTGGCGGAACAGACAGGCGTTGGAAGAGAAGCGCAGCTGGGCATCAATGCAGGCGGGGACCTTGCAGCGGTATGGCTTCAGATGGGAATCCAGGTACTTGCTGTTAGTTGTATCGGTTAGCTGGGTTTAGATTACACCAAAGATTTCATCGCGGGAGGACTTGCTGGTAAGCGCATTTTTGCGTGGTGGGCGGGTGATTGCAGGGTTTCTCTCCGGTGGCAAATGGGCAGTAATATTTTCCATCGCTGTGGGTGGACATGGAATAATACTGGTGCTCTCGCGGGTTGCGAGCCTCAACACCTTCCTTGGATCTCTGTCGGGTTGGCTCTCTCACTGGGAGGGCTGGGAAGAAATCGGGATCAGTCTTTCCTTGTCGCTGAGAGACAGCTGGCAATGCTGAGCGGCGGGATTGCTTTGAGGGTCTGATGGTCCTACGATATTGTGGTTAGGTCTCTGATCAATTGTTTTTGTCTTCTGGTCTATCAGTCTCTCAGACACTCACCTGTTGAGATCCCTGTCGTTGAGAGAAGAGCTGGGGAACAGGGGCTCCGCTGGGTTGAGTCCATGGGTCGTTCCAATGGGCGATGTGGTAAAGTCTCCGAGGAGTGCATCATCGGGGGCCATGAATGAAGTGTATCCCGCGTGTGAGCAAGAAGAAGTAACAGACATATCATTGCTAGCGTCCGTCAGTGGCGGAGAGACCGGGGCGGTCTGGAAAAGACCGGACGAGAATTGCTCCATGGTGGTTCCTGGGTAATGGGCATCATGCATCATTGGGGTCCAGGACTCTGAGCCTGTGATATAGTGGCTATCCTCGGCACTGTGAGAGCTGTGTCCGATGGAAAGAGCATCATCTGGCGTGCCATTCCCGACACAGACATCATTTTCAACAGAAGAGAAATCCAGGAAGGAGTTATAAAGATCCCGGGACATTTCATGGTCATTCATGTCAGGGACTGCTGGGAAGTCCATGCCTGGGTACATAACATCATTTGGTCCGACCGTGGGGGTCATCAGCTGCTGAGACAGCGAGAAAGAAAGCATGTGCACCTCGGATGAGTCTTGTTTTGTGATGGCCTGGTCAAGGGATTCTTGGTGGTTCATTGTCCAGTCTTTCATGTCCTGTGGATTTCCATGGGCTGTATGGCTAGACATTTCATCATCCTGGATTGATCTTGAGGCCATACTTGAGATTCCTGAAACCATGGAAGCATGCATGGGCTGTGAGATAGAGACTCGTTCAGAGTCGCTAGTGGTCCTTGGAGACATTGTGTGGTTGTGTGATAAAAAAAAAGACACTGTAAACCAAGAGTTAGTATCTACTACTCGACATCGAATAATGAAATAAGCCAAGCAAAAATGAAAAAGAAAAAGAGAGAAAAGAAAAACGGAGTTCCATAGTCCAGAAGTGACTGAAGACCTAGTTGAGAGTCAGTAATGAGACCAGGGGTCGCGTCACGATTAGTTATACGCACCAGAGTCGCCTTTGTGGGATTGAAAGTTCCTTGGCCAATCAGAGATTATCGTAAGGTCCTGGTCAAAATTCGTCGTTTCTATGTTCGGGTCCAGGTCTGTTGTCAATCCGGGGGAGTGCTAAGTGATGCCAGGGCGAGCAGAAACAGTTCCATCATGGCCAGAGTTACTATTTGGTTGAAGCATCATCACCATCATCATCCGAGGTAGTCCAGGTAAGTAAAAGAAAGTTGTTCAATTATGTGGCCAGATCAGATAGGTACACAACGGCCAGGTTCCGTAAAGCAATGGGCAAGTGAAGAGTTTGAAAGCGGATGCTTCAGAAGGCCATATTTGGGAGCAAGCACATTAGCTTGAAAGGTTCCTCGGTTGATTCCTTGGGGTCAAATGGATCCATTATTGTTGATAGAAAGTGGCCATAGTAGCATCACATATCCAGGCAAAGGGTCATGATTTCAAGTCCTTAAGTGGTTCATTCCAGAGGCGCTGTTTCCAGAGGCAGCGGGGGTCCAAGGGTATATCAAAATCCGCACTCAAAACTCCGGTCTTAGAGCTGAGGCAATGTGAAAAGAAGAAACATCCATGGGAGTAGTCCAGTGGCAGTGGAAGTCAGACGATTTGAGTGTGCAACATTAAACACATCTCAAAGAGATTCACTCAGCAAATGCTGAAGGCAAGTATCCTCGGCAGTGGTTCCTTATTCATGGTCGTCAAAGATTGGCCAAAAGTCCGGATGTGGGGAGTAGGTCTAAGGTCCTTGGGTCCTGGGCAATAGGTTGTCGACATCCTTGGCAAGCACAGTTGATAATGGTACAGGTCCACAAGACAAAGGAAAGAAAAACAACGCATAGGAGAACCAATTATAAAGGAAATGTGGCGGGAGCTACCTATTGTGTTTGTCGAGATGGGCAGACTAAAAAGAAGCCTGGGAGACAACAAGAAAACAAATCCTGTCCGGGAAGTATGTGGCAGAGAGAAATCCTTGTGGCAGTGATTGTATCAAAAACCAGAGAGTCTTGGGTTAAAGTTGTCCTTGGTCCAGGCACTGAGTTGTTGTATGTGTTCAAGAGGAGTATATATAAAAGTGATACACAAAGTATTGATTGCAGAAAAGGGGTATCCAGAGTTAATGAAGAAAGAAAAAGAAGAATCAGAATGAAGGAGGGGGATCAGCGGCCTTTTAGCACACAAAAAAATCGAAAGCTCGGACTTTGGAGGGTCTGTGGGCCATCAAACATGGCGTGTGCCAGTCTCGCATCGTGCAGGAGACGAGTGCGCTGTTGGCACCCTGAGAGCCAGTGCTGCAGACTGGCGGTGATGCATCTGCAGATTAGGGGGGTGTTCGCTTGACTGAGTGGAGGGATATCTACTAGCGGTGAGACGGGCTCGGCGTCTTGAGTGCTTGGCGAGAAGTATGATTGGTGATAGGAAACAGGCTGACATTCTGGGATGATGTCCGAATTGGACGATCGGCAGATTCGTTCGCGTGTTCGATGAGATGTACAACTTCGTTGCACCTGGACAAGTATTGTATGGCCCAGAGGATCCCACGTCGGAGTGCCACGGGAAGTATACCTGCAGCATGAGGTCACCTTGCACAGCATCAAGACTCGAAGATATAGTACGGAGTAAAGTGAAGAATAAATAAATATAAATGGTAAATGTGATTGCAAATGTAAATTTATCAAAGAAATAAATATAACTAAGATTACTGGACAACGGGACGGGGCGAGCCAGAGAGCCAGACCCACGTTGGGCAGCAATGCAGGCTGCTTTTTCCTACTTTCGGGTCTTTCTTTTTCAGTTAGCCAAGTTCAAAAGAAGTGGTGTATGAAAAAAAGGATATCAAGGTTGACAGGATCAGAAAATGAAAGATGGAATATGTTTTCGTTCAGCAATCCGAAGATCTCAGGTGAACTATGCTTTAAATATTGTTTGTTCATCACAAAAGGCAAAATGCCCTTGGGAAATAGCGCAGGAATGTGAGTAAAAGAAAATGCTAGGCTTACCTGTTAGCGGGAATTGTCGGAAGAGATGAGTTGTCATGAAACACAAGTCATATTTGAGGAGGCTGTGGCAGTCTGGAATATGATTGACGGAGAAAAGGAAGAAGAAAAGGAAGAAAATTAATTTTTGTATGTGATATCACGTGCATTATATGAGTTTGTATTGTTTACACTGTTTGGTTCTACTTTGAGCAAACACCCACTTCCTCAACTGAGGGCTTATCCATTCTCCACTCTTCATTCCTTGGCATAATGAATTGGACAGGCGGCCAGCTGCAACGTCATCACAATCGCTCGGGCCTGTTGACCAAAGCCCAGAAGCAGAATTTCGCCAAGTCGAGACTCCAAAAGGGCACGGCCATCCCCCCACCTTCACCATTCCGAAACTTCCCTGGTATTGGATTCAAGGGCTCGAGCAATAGGGACAAGGATGAGGAGGCAGAGACAAATGGGAATCAGTCAGTCCAGAACTGTTGATTGCTTTGACTTTGCTTCCACCAATCCATGTGGCCGTCCTTGTACTAATCCGTGATCATGCTGATTCTAGAGTTACGGAAGAGCCCTCCTCACATTTGACTGGTGGTCAGCCCTCTCGTAGTGACAATGACTTGACTGAGGTCAAGCGCCAACTGCTGAAAGAACCTGATTGGGCAGCCGTTTCTGCTACACGTCCACTCGAGCTTGCATTCACATCTGTGGAGGAAGTCGAGCGGTTTGGGAAGCGACGAAAGCTAAACGACAAGGACAGAAAACGGCTGGTAGCAGCTGACACCGACGGGCCTACTTTCTTTGAGCGACCCATCTCCCAACGAAGAGGCAGAAATTCATCATTGGTGATTGATACCATTGAAGAAGACATTCATTTTGAAATTAACGGACGACCAGTGGCACAATCCAATGACAGCTCTGGGGTAGTCATGAGCAGCATGTCATCACAGTCAATGCTACTTGACCATGAAGGATCTCCTATTGTTGAACAGGACCCGGGAAAAAGGAACCAGACTGCTACCTGGATTACCAATCTCTTTCCCCGTTCGCAATGACATCAGGGCGGGCCTATGCCGAGCAGTGTATAATGTTGGACGCTCATTTTCATTCAGAAAGTTAGACGAAGTCAGATGAACGGCAAATGTTCTCAGAGTCCATATATCAGATAAGCGTCTGGGGGAAGCATCTATATCTCTCACTCCCTGGATAGCCTGCTAGCTACACCGTAGACCAACAGTATCATGGCAGTGCCGTTAGACCTTCCGAGGTCCGCAACACCACCACATGAGGCACCTAGAAGAAAAGCGACTAGTCCACCATACCAACCAACAAATGAATAGACCACTAAGATCCCTTGATCCAACCAAATCCACTGCCTAGACTATTCTACATGACGTTGTCAACGGCGGGCCTATGGATTCCGTTTCAAATTAGTCCTGCCTTTCGGGTGTTAGCGCCCTAATATGCCGTCATGTAATCTCTTCATGTATATCCCCGACAGTAGCCCCAGAGACGCATGCTTCCAAGGTTATTTCCAAGACCAGCATTACTCATTCCTGACAGGAGCCCTCTAGGAGCTGTCGTAATATCTCCCGGGAGCAAGCAACATCGTGCCTGGGAGCCACCCATTTCCCCTCTGCCCCCGTGTACCACCATTTTCCTAACCCTTTGATCTAGTGATCTATTAGATGCATGTTTCTCAATTATCTTTTAGTTAACTTTTAGATATCTTTTACTCTTCTTAGTGTTATACAAGGCTTATAGTTTAGTTCGGAAATGTGGCCCTATAGATCTAAATTACCGCATTCGGTCATCACATGATTGGTACCTTCCGAAGCAACGTCATTTCCGTCTCCACAATCAGTTCCAGGTCATCATCAGCGCTGACATCTTAAAGATCATTGTCAGTTCCATCGTTCAACAATGCGTTCTATGACACTTTTGGCCGCACTAGCCACCAAAACTCTCTCAGTCGCGCTCCCTTGGCAATCCGCAACAGATGCAGCCAGTGGAACCCAGTTCCCCCTCGTGATCTGGCATGGTCTGGGCGATGACTTCGAACGCGAAGGGCTCACTCAAGTTGCGAAGCTAGCTGAATCCACCAACCCAGGCACATACGTGCACCTCATCCGACTGGCCGACGACGGCAGCGGAGACCGCTCCGCAACCTTCTTCGGCAACGTAACGGAGCAAATCGCCCAAGTCTGCGAACAGCTCGCTGCGGACCCAATCCTTAGCACAGCACCCGCCATCAACGCACTAGGCTTTTCACAGGGTGGCCAATTCCTACGCGGGTACATCGAGCGCTGCAATACCCCGCCCGTCCACAACCTTGTCACATTCGGCAGCCAGCACAACGGCATCTCAGCGTTTGAGTCATGCGCTATTGACAACTGGTTCTGTAGAGGGGCTGAGGAACTACTACGATCGGGACGGTGGACTAGCTTCGCGCAGTCGCGCGTCGTGCCGGCGCAGTACTTCCGCGACCCCGAAGAGCTGGATGCGTACCTCGAGCACAGCAATTTCCTAGCGGATATCAACAACGAGCGCGCAGTCAAGAACGAGACGTACAAAAAGAATCTGGCATCGCTGAATCGCTTTGCGATGTTCATGTTTGAGGATGACACTGTTGCTGTTCCTAAACAGAGTGCTTTCTTCTCCGAGTTTAATTCCACTACTGGCGAGGTAACACCTCTGCACAAGAGGCCGATTTACAAGGAGGATTGGCTGGGGCTGCAGCAGCTTGATAAGCAGGGAAAGCTGGAATTCAATACTGCTCCTGGACAGCATATGCACCTGTCTGAAAAGACTCTGCGCAAAGCTTTTACTCAGTACTTTGCTCCGCTGGAGGAGTCGCGTCCTTCGACACCGGGTCTCGTTGTACAGCGAGGACTTTGATTGTTCCCTCTTCGCTTGGGCGTTTTCTTTTATCATATGATATCCAACTGTGTGTCCTTCATCTTTTACATACTAGCATCAAATTCGAAGTCCAATCTAATGCCGCATATGGCTGGTTGATTATACATTTATCAAATTACGATGTTTTGCCATGATGGTTTAGCACCGTCTATTTTATGTCTACCGACAATGTAGCTAGATACACCACGCTGCGAATCCCCATCGCAAGCTAACAAATGAAAGAAATGTGAGTGCCGACAGACAAAACAAGAGTCCGGGCGTTCGAAATAAAAAATGCAAGTGGGAAAAGAAAAAGATAACAAGGATAGACACCGAAGCGAAGCAAAATAACCGACAAAGCAGAAAGGACATGCGTATCTCGAACACGTTGGGTTTTTACCAGCCAGCAACTCGGCATTCGACATGAGCGAAGAGAAGATCCATGCAAGGCAAGGCAGAGCGGGTGAAAAAAAGAAAGGAAAAAAAGAGAAAAGAACCTATAACAGAAAAAAAATTATATAAACATAGGAAGAGCCAGGAACAGAAATGGCTGCAAAGATGCCTGGAGAATAATGCAAAGGTGCAGTCGAACACAAAAATCAATAGGGTGGCCGACCAAGGCCTCCGCTGACCTGTCGTCTGCTGTTAGATCCGTTCAGCTGAGTTTTGGAAGCAGGTTTGGCCGTTGCCGGGCGGTTTCCATTTGTGAGCGTGGTCTGGTCGGGCGATAGGAACCCATCCAAGAGCTTCCTCAGTTGATCTTGGTGGTTGTCATCCAGGGCGTTGGACTCATAGTCAGTTAAGAGTTCGGGGATTCCAGCTGTGGCAAGGCTATGGTTGGATCGGGTCTTGTTGCGGTTCAGAGGCTTGTAGTTTAAGGCACTGGCTTCAGCCTTGTCTTTCACCAGAGACGGTCCCGAGGGACCCGGCGCGGTGGATGGGCGATCATATGAGGTCAGCGAGCGCTGTGAGTCGTTTGGGAAACCACCTGGGATTGACAAGCCGACTGGGATGGGCGGGACCGGGGGGATTTCTGCATTTGAATCGACCCGATTCTCAGATGGTGCTTTCGGAGATTCGTCGATTGGAGCTTTATCACCTGATAGGACTAATGCCGCGGCCGAAGCGCGGGGTGTCTCCGTTCCATCTTCATCGGGTGTTTGTTGGCTCTCTGGTCGGATTGAGGTAGCATCACCATCTATCTCGGAAACTGAGAAGTTGCCGCTCATCATGCTTTCGCTCCCGGAAGAAATAATACTGGCATTGGACGCATCAAGTCGTCCACGCAATGGACTGAGGCGTCGAGCATGGGAGTCGTTGGTAACAGAAAGCACGCGTCGAAGCTCGTTGACACGGACAGGCGAGCCTCTGCTGGAGCCGTGGGGTGACGAGCCTGATATCTCCGGAATGCTCATGCGGCGGTGATATTGGGAGCCGGCAGGTGAGCCATTCGTAGCCCCGTTGGTTTGGTTGTTGCGAGCATTTAGAGTAGCCCGAGAGCCATTTATCGACGACGTTCCAGTGCTTTCCTTATCGACAGCTGCCAAACATGCCTCGCGGGACCACGGAGACAACATCTGTTCTTTCACAACGGGTGGAAGGCTGCCCTCGAGCTGGGATTTCACTACTGTTGTGGAGTGCCCAAGGACCGGGAATTTGAATCCTCCTGCTGGAGAAGAAGTCGAAGGACTTTGTGGAGGAGACGGTGCCGATTTGCGATAAGACTCCTCAATCATGTTGACAAGTCCGTCGACATTAGAGAAGGGTCTCAATGTAGGCGGAGAGGTGGAGTCGTTGTCCGACCTCTTCACGCTGTCAAAAACAATGGCGTAAAGATCGATTGGAGGCAGGCGGATTTTGGAAAGCCAATATCCCTTGCCCTGCCGCTGTTGAATCTCATTACTTATCTCAAGACCCACAGGGGAGGACTGCATGTCGAAATGCTCAGACAGCGCAAGAAGGTATCCGTGTATCAAGCTTCCAATGTTAACGCGAGCCGCGAAGGAACTCAGATCTGTAGATGTAAACAAGTCGTCTTGCAATTTAAGGACCATAGGAAGACCGAATTGAACAGCATTCACCCCAAGGTTCTCCACAAGATTTGCAAGAAGTAGGTGCAGCAGGAGAATCTCGGCGTCCTCGGCTACTGCCTCCAGTGCAGCATCGTAGATAGCCAGGTGCAGAAGGCGGAGGAAGTTCGAACGTGCTACCAGCGCCACTTTGTCCCGCTGGTTCCCAGGGGCCGAGGTACCTCGCCGAGTCGACCTATCCATCTGATCGGAGTCTTTTTTCGGGGTCGTCTTGATGTGCTTCGGTGAATCTAATCGCACCTTGAGGTCGTTCACATTGGTCTCGATCTGCAGCCATGATAGGAATGCATCGGTATAGGCATAGCGAACATCACGATCCACATCACGAAGAAGTACTTCGGTTCCTTCCCACACATGGATTCCGACAGGATGTCTAGATTCTGCGCCAGACATGGTTGCTGGCGCTTTGGAATTAGCCACAGCCAAGATAGCCTTGACAGCTCGGAGAGCGGTCAGTTTAGCGGGAGCATGCGAGAAGGTTTCTGTGCTTGCTTTCTCTCCATTTGTCTCAGATGCGGAATTTGTTGAGCCCTCATGTGCCACTCCGGATTCGTGAACGGTTGCCAATGTGGATGGCGCGGAACTATCATGGTGGATGTTAGGCTTGAAACGCCTGAGAATGGCCCGCATCATGTCTGCCACTTGGTCTCCGTAGTAGATGTGCGTCGCAAGATCTCCAATACACTGCTCCAGAAGCGTAAGAAGATCCTGTCGTCGGGGAGAGATTTGAACGACTTCAGCTTGTCCGTTTGATTTCTTCTCTGACTCTGCAGACCCAGTACGCTCTGGGGGCGAGAGTATATCAGAAGCGTAGTGCATGAGTCCAAAGAGGATGTCCATGACGCTAAGCCCAATCATGTTCACAGAAGATCTGAGAAGCCAATCCACCACAGAGAGGATAGTGAATGCCGACTCTAAAGCGTCCTCCTTGGGGCTTGTATTGTGGAGAATCTCCATAGCTGTAATCAAGATGATAAAACGAACTTGCACCGGACACCAGTTCGTAATGAGTTCGATCAGAGATGTTGCCCAGTTGCCACTTTTGCCCTCGATGATCTGGGCATGCT